ATTCCCCACAGCCCACCATGAAGCGACCCCTCCGTGGAGCTGGATGGACTTTGCACACGTAGCTGCTAATAGCCATGATTAATGATGGGGAACTGCAGGATGTCCACCTTGCACCATGCAATAGCACCCGGTGTGGCCTCAGCTTCCTCAAACCCTCTGCCCCTTCCTTGATTACCTGCCAGCTGCTAAAGGCAAAACTTGCACGGTGCAGACCTGCACGGTATTGAGGAATCAGCAGATCAGCATGAGGATTTCTTTCCCAGCCCTCAGAATAACCTTCTTCATGCTTTAACCCAGCTGGTTACCCAGCCGCCTTCTACCCCTAGGGCAAATTTACTGAACTTCTTGCCCAGAACTAGGTGGAGAGATGGAAAAGACCCACGACGATAAATCACAGCTGTGCTGGCTCTCTGGGAGGACCTGGGCAGCCTGTGGGCATTGCCCCATGCCCTGGGACAGGCAACACTCAGCAAAGGGAGAGCATTTGCTTCGCAGGCTGGGCAAAGGCTTTGCTCCACAATTAATTATACATGCTCTGTAGTCCGTCTGGGAGGCATTAATGGATCCAGATGCGGATCATGGGTCTCTGCGTGGCACTGTAAACATGCTGGAAGTCCAATTTGGATTTCCCCTGGTGCCTCATTTAAATGAATTATGTAAACACTTTCCCCTCCTCTTTTGAGCAAAAGCCAGTCTGGCTGCTGCCCGATGTGTTAATCCCATGAATAAAATAAAAACAAGGGAGACCATGCATTAAAACGAATAAAACGATGCTAGAGAGCCTCTATGAGCGGGCTTTGCCTCGGGGACGAGCTGCTGGTGCATTAGCCGGGGCCAGTCCTGCGGGAGCTCCGTGCTGGAGAGCAGGTTTGGAGGAAACCACGTTCACAGGCCACGGTGCTGCGAGGGCGAGAGGAGTGTTTAAGCTCCATCTGTGTCACACACCTGGGCTGTGGGTAACGTGCAGGGAGATGCAGCGGGGAGGCCTCACGTCCCTCCGCGCACCCCGGAGCTCCGCGGAGCCGGCGGGAGCCGGGGATGCTCCGGGAGCCGGGGATGCTCCGGGAGCCGGGGCTGCACCACAAGCGGCTCC